AGAAGGTTTTTGTTCTGAGAAGTGTCAAGAATAAATGTACAGTTTTTAACTGAAAACGTTTCACATTACATGTTAACACACTACGGTGCTCCATTTAGTGAGTCTCGGGCGAAGCCAAAACGGGGAGGCCGCTAACCACAAAAATAAATACAAACAATAATACTCCTATAAGGCTCTTAGTATTTTTCCTCTAGTAGTTATATAAATATGACTTGATCACTTGGTACAGGCATATTCCTAATAATGTGTATTTCTTAACGTGTATCCTCCTTATGTTTGCTAGTACTAGTAAGAACCGTTAAAAGGAATAAAATTAAATTTACAGTTTTTATACTTTTCTAAGAAAATTTTTTTTTCGTAGCTTTATGACTGAAATTTATTGTTTATTTTGTATAAAAAAAAAAAAAAAAATAAAAAAATAAAAAAATAAACAACCAATAATTATAGCAATACTTTTATTGCCATCAATGAAACCTATAAGATTATTCAGCCAGGGTCACTCTGAAAAACGATCATTTGTATTAGCAATAGTTGCTTGTTAATTGATGAATACCATTGGCTTTTTAACTTTCTCAACTCATTTTTAAGTGTATGAGTGCCACCTCCTGGCCTTTGTCAAACATACTGCTACACTACCTACCAACGTTCAGCTCATTGCTATGTAGTTTATCGATCAACAACATGCTCTTTGCCAGCCAACACTACCAGAAAAGCGTTCCAAACAGGCCTCAAACAAACAATTTTGAAATGGGTCTTACTTAAATACTAATTGTCCGAAAAAATTTTTTCTGCGCTATTCGACTCATAATAAACAGCTGTACCCGTTGGTTACTGTTGTTTAAGTACTTTAGAAGGTCCCTGTATATCCCTATGATCAATAGTTGTATGGACAAAAGTAAGTCTCATATCAGAGATTACTATTAGTTGGGAGATTGTTGACTGCCATGCTACGGAGTGTGCCCAATTTTTCCAGTGGTTTGAGCGCCCCGCCGTGGCCAAGTGGCTGAACCAGGTGCTTATTTTTATTTTTTTTGAGAAGCACGGTAGGGGTATGAGAGGAGTGGACTCGCGTGGAAATGTCCATATAGGCGCATATCTTGGAAACGCGTGGAAGGGGTATACCGAAAGTGCGCCTACGAGGAGAAGAGTGTAAATGTCGGCTATATAGCTGTACAGCTTAGCGCATAGCCAAACTAGCCAAAGCAAGCAACGACAAGAGTTTTTCTCTTTTGAGTCTTTTGGCTCTGCAACCGAGTGTATGCTATGTATATTTAACTAACTTGCTCTCGCTCTGGCTTCAATGCCATCTATAAATCTTATTTAATTAAATCGTGGAACTTAATGCTCATTAATTATATGTACAGACTTTTGATTTCAGTACATTATTTTTTAACTCTCCCGTACTCTTAACATTCCCAAATCCATGTATGTTTTAAAAAAATATATAGCTTCAACTATTTTTTAAGGTTTTCAGTACAGCTTTTACCACTACTTTATTAATTTTACACATCCTAACTGCTGTGAACTGTATGACAAGCTCCGGAGGATATCCATGAACATATATGTTTTCGAAAGAGAATTCACGTGTTCTTCGGATAGCTAAGATGGATAAGACTTATGCCGCTCCGTGGATTGTTTTGCTCTTAAAGGTTCAAATCCACATCATGGTAGATTTTTGTTATTTATTTATTTATTTTTTTTATTCAATTTATCATTTTGTCTTCATTTCTTTTATCTAGGTTTCGTTAAAAAATATTTATGTGTCGTCAACGTTTTTTTTTTAGGATACATCAAAATAAATATTGTTACTTTAATACTTCTTGTTAGCAAGGCAATTCCACAATTTTATAGTACTAAAATAACTTTTAAGGATTTTAACATAATTTGTGCATTTTAAAACTCCTAAGAAATTATGAACATCCTATTTACGACAAAAAAAAGCCGAAGGCAGAAGAAAACTCATACTTTCACTACGATTGTATCAAATATGATTATTACCAGTAAAGTACACCTTACATCCAATTATACGTGAATATTTATCTATGTACATATTTTATATTTTTTAGCTTATATTTACATTCCTTATAAATACCATGTGGTTATTGCAATGACAAAATTCGTACTACATATATGTACAAATATTAAAGCAGATTCTTTAGTCTTTATAAATAGTGCGTATTTTAGATTAAAGAGTCTTACAGATACTGAACAAAGCTTTTTTTATTCAAGACATATTAGTTTCAACCACTTGTAACTCGAAGTATGGATTAAAAAAAAAAGTTTTATTATGTATAAGCAATTAACCTTTTTACCTACAATAAATGGTTATTGTAATTTTTCAGAAATAGTTACCAAAATTTTTCGACAGCGCGTAAATCATATACCGTTAACAATTTTTTTTCCTCTGTTTTAAAGGTGGCACTATGTATATTTTTATTGATGAAAAAAAAAATAAAGAGTTTAAATTAAAGCCTTTTTAGTCGAATGTAAGGCTTATGCCACGGAACTTATAGTAGTTTTATTGAAAAAAATCTGTAGGTCATGTCTTATTACCGCCATTTTGGATTTTATGGCGGACGAAAAAAATTTTTTGTGTACATCTTTTGATAGAAAAGCTTAAGACTTTTTGTACAAGTATTTTAAGACCCCTGTAGGGTTCATGCTGCTAAGATTATAGTAGTTTTCTTGAAATAAAGCTGTTGGTCACGTGTTATTGCCGCCATTTTGAAATTTATAGCAGACAAACAATTTTTTCCATACTTATTTTGATAGAAAAGCTTAAGACTTTTTATTAAAGCTTTTTTTTGACCCCAACAAGGTCCATGCCACGAGATATATAGTAGGTTTATTAAAGAAAATCTGTAGGTCACGTGGTTCAGGCAGCAATATTGGATCAGGAATGTTGACTCAATGTATATGCCAGTCCGCATTGAAAACTAGATGCTCAGACCTTTCTTTTGACTACTCATACAACTTGAATAAATTAAACTAATTTTGGAGAAGAGGGAGTCATTCGTTTACAAAGAATACCTCATATAGATGTACAACATGTATAAATGCAGAAGCAAAAGGTCTTTTCATCACATTTTTATAGGAAAAAGAACTACAGTAAGTAAATTTTGTAAATTTGATGCGGAGATATGTGATTTCTTCAACTATAAAGAGTACGAACATCAAGTCGAGGACTTCAGTACTGTGCGTGATGTTATTCCAGTAAACACTTTTATGTTTTATGATTTAAACCTAGGAATATAATCGAACATTCATTATGATGTAAAGCATGACAATGATAATTGTAATTCACATAACTCTAATGAACCTACAATAAAAAACTTTATCATAGATAAACAATTAATGCAGTGAGCTATAGTGTAGGGTGTAAAATTTAACACACTACAATAGATACGCTATTAAAGTGCTTGAAAAAGTTTCATCCTAAAATTCCAGCTACAGCAAAGACTTTGTTAAAAATTAATTATGATTTTTACCAAAACTCAATTATCTCTCACTTCTGGCTGCTTATTGTACTATTTTTGTAGCAGCGATATTGATTATATATACATATATATATATA